CCAGAATCTTTTTTCTCTTTTGTTGTGAATTGGTTCTAATGCTCTGTCTTATTTCAGCTCCCAAAAGCTGTGCTTCCAGACCTGAGGGTCCCTGCCCCCAGCTGGCTTCGACTCATAATAAAGAATTGCCACATAGCCAATGGTTGGACAAGGAGACGAGATGGGACTTTTAGATTACATGGGCAAGGGACCAAGGAAGAGGGGAGAGACAGGGAATTGCCATGATGTGGAAGCAAAAAGATGAAACTTAAAGGCCCACTGGCACGTGAGAATCTGGAAAAGTGGCCCTAGGGGCCACTTCCCCAATTGGGTTTGGGGTAGCAGGGATGAAATACAAATTTTAAAAGATGTTAAGTCAGGAATACCAGAGGGGAGTGTTTGCTAGCCACGGGGAGGTTTAGAAGTGCCCAGACATTGAGTTAGTCGAAGCCTACCAAAATTAACTGGTGCGCGTTTGTGTGTGTGTGTGTGTGTGTGTGTGTGTGTGTGTGTGTGTGTGTGTCTTTTATTTGTGTATCCAGAGAGCTCTTGGACAAGTGCAGCCAGTGGCAACCCACCAGGAGTCAAAGCAGTTTAACTTATCGCTACACTCTTTGTTTTGTAAGTATATAGTTATTTTAAAGAGAGTGAAAGAAAAAATTAACTATTCATTTTTCAAAACGAAAGGTAAAAAAAAGCCAAGTAATCTGGACCCCCAGGATCTTTCAGACACGAGGCCCCTGACACACATGTAGCAGAGGACTGCCGGGTCTGGTCTCAGTTGAGAGAAGATGCACCTAACCCTCAAGATACCTGGGGCCTCAGGGAGTGGGGAGATTTTGGTGGGGTGGGGTAGGGTAGGGTAGGGACATCCTCTTGGAGACTTGTGTGTGTGTGTGTGTGTGTGTGTGTGTGTGTGTGTATGGGTGGGGAGGGAGGTGAAATAGTCAGAGGGTGGACAAGGAGGGGGATAAAGTCTGGACTGTAAAAAAAGATTAAATAATAATAATGCCATAAACATGAAAGAAATCCATCAGTGGATCTCTGTCCCCACCTGCCTTAGGGTATGGACTGCTGCAGAGCTGGGGCCCATTGCTTAGGATGGCACTACACAGCTTTTGTTCATTAAAGCCCCAGGTAAAAACTAATGTTCTCTGTGGCAGTCAACCATCTTATGAGGACTTAAAGTCACTTCAAGGATCATTTTTAACTTATGTGAGTTTTAATCTTGTGGGCTATTGTAAGGACCTAACTGCCAATTACCATGCAGTATCTATGGAAATGTCTGGTAACTGCGCAGCTCACACTCCCAAGAAAGTTCCTGTAATTTGATTCAGAAAGCTCCCTAGGCTCTTTCTAATGCATCCCCTTTGTCCACTAATTTGGGTAGGCCTCTGTTCTTATATTTTGATGCTACCTGAGTGATTCTAATCTGTTGAATTCTTTTTATAACTAAGAGTATACATCACTGAAAGACAGTACAGAGCTGTGATTAGGAATTAGATCCCTAATGGAATCACAGTTTCTATGACTAAATAAGCCACTGCACCCTTTAAAATCCTATTAAAATAATCTGTAAAATGAGGTTAATATTACCAACTCATTGTGCTACTATGGACTTTAAATGAGATAATGTATATTACATACTCACAACTGTATTTGGTACATACTTTTATAATTACTAAAAGTAATCATAAGATTGAGTCCTGACTAAATGTAATCTCATTGCTTTCTATATTGTCATCTATTTTTATTTTGTCATGCCTTTAAAAATGTTATAAAATGTGCCGGGCGGTGTGGCGCATGCCTTCAATCCCAGCACTTGGGAGGCAGAGGCAGGCAGATTTCTGAGTTCGAGGCCAGCCTGGTCTACAGAGTGAGTTCCAGGACAGCCAGGACTACACAGAGAAACCCTGTCTCGAAAAACCAAAAAAAAAAAAAAAAAAAAAAAAGTTATAAAACTTATACAGGGTAAACAAACAATAACTGAGTAGGCTTTGTATTAATTGTGAGCTGTTTTCAAATCTTTTATACTCACAAGGCTAGTGTGGTATTTTCAGATTGTTTGAGGCTAAATAATAATATTACCAATGATGGCATATTGGCCTGAAAAGTATTATCCCTCCCTCCCACTTCACCTCCTACAGCATTCTTCTTTTAAATTCTATTTTAAGTAGTGGGTAAATCTTACTAATTACCATTTAAGATAAAAGTTCTGGGAAGGCTAATGACTAATGGTCATGAAAGCAAACAGTACTAAAATTTTAAATACCAATACTATATATAAAACATAAATGCTACTTTAAGTATTTTCAGGGTCCAGAGGTGATGGTTTTATATATATATTCTCAAATAAAAGCCTGTGCCAGTTTTCTGGTATTATCTCCAAGATTCACATAAAGAACACATAGAGTTCTAAATTTTCAAAATCAAATTCTTAAATTCCCCAGAAAATTTATGCTGGTCATTAAGAATGGACTTAATAAACAAGCTGTAATGAATCTTCTAATTAATTCCATTTCAGATCAAAATCTCAAAATCCCTTCTCAGCTTTCCTTTTGCTCAAATCATTGAAAGGTTAGACGGGTGCAGTGGTGCATGCCTACAATCCCAGTGTTAGGGAGTCATAAGAGCAAAGCCAACCTCAGGTACACATGAGCAGCATCGTCAAACGGCTAACACCGGACTAGTCTCTCACGTGGGTTGTGAATGGAAAAAATTTTAAATCATGTGTCAAAAAACAAAAATGGATAATCTGGTAAAGCCATATTAGAAATGCACCTGTGTTGGATAGTTTTATGTCAACTTGATTCAAGCTAGAATTATTTGAAGAGGAATAAACTTCAACTGAGAAAATGTCTCCATAAGATCCAGCTGTAGGGGCTGGGCAGTGGTGGCTCACGCCTTTAATTCCAGCACTTGGGAGACAGAGGCAGGCAGATTTCTGAGTTCGACGACAATCTGGTCTACAGAGTGAGTTCCAGGAACCCTGTCTCGAAAAATCAAAAACAACAACAAAAAAGAAAAACCACAAAAAAAAGATCCAGCTGTAGGGCATTTTCTTAGTGAATGATGGGGGGAAGGCCCAGCCTATTGTGAGTAGTATCATTCCTGGGTCTGTGAACCTGGCTTCTATAAGAAAGCAGAGGGACTTGTAAACAAGCCATGAGGGACAAGCCAGTAAGCAGCACTCCTCCATGGTCTCTGCAATCAGCTCCTGTCTCCATGTTTCTTTCCTGTTTGGGTTCCTGTGCTGACTTTTTTGGAAATTGAAGTGTAAGCCAAATCAACCTTTTCCTCCCTAACTTGCTTTTGGTTACAGTGTTTCACTGCAGCAACAGAGACCCTTACAAGGGCACCGCCAGACTGAGTAGTGGTAATAAATTTACATTTGTATAGAAGCTAACAGTTTTTTGTTTGTTTGCTAGTTTGTTTTAAAGACAAGGGTTTATGCAGCCTGGCTGGCCTTAAAAGCCTGCCTTTACTTCCTAGGTGCTGAGATTATAAATTTGTATGGACAACATTGAGTTTCTGGACTGGTACTGAAGATGGCACTGTGGGCTTCCTACATACCAGACAAACACTCTACCAACTGAGCTACAACCCAGCTCAAAATTAAGTTTTAAAGTATTCTCAGCTGGGCAGTGGTGGCGCACGCCTTCAATCCCAGCACTTGGGAGGCAGAGGCAGGCAGATTTCTGAGTTCAAGGCCAGCCTGGTCTACAGAGTGAGTTCCAGGACAGCCAGGACTACACAGAGAAACCCTGTCTCGAAAAACCAAAAAAAAAACAAACAAAAAAAAAAAAACAAAAACAAAAAGTATTCTCAATCTACGAGAGTCAAGCATGGTGAATTTTATTCTCCTTATACTGAAGTGAAGCTCAAAGTCATTAAAGTGAAAATATAAAAACACTATCAGCCTGTTCTACATCCTCACATGGCTTCTCCCTGGGCACTGACAATGCTGTATTACTGAGAGCTGAAAGATACTTATGGTCAAATGGAAAGAAAGAAGATTAAAATGAGGTAGAGTAGATAAAACAGATAAAGTACTTGACTATATTTTGTATTTAAGAAGAGATTTTTAGCACAAAATACTTATTTTTTTTTTTTAGAATCTAATCACAGAGATTGCATAAAAGGTTACGAAGAAATGGAGATAAACTCTATTTGCAAAGTGTCTGTGGGTATGCTTTTTTTCTCCTTGTCTTAAACTTCTGAGTCATGGCAACAAATTATAGCCTGCTTAAGAGACAAAGAATCCTGCTTGCAGTTATCCCCTTGCAAATGGTTTCACAATCATTACTGTATTTAATAAATAAGATTACAAAAAAAAGAAAGAAAAGATTCCCTTAGAAATAACTTCTAAGTCATAGAGACTTAAGCTTTTTAGAAACCTCAACAATATATTTCAGGCTAACAATACATTTTTATTCACATATAGAATTTATACAAGGCCTTTTATTTTGGCAAGAGGAGAAAGAACAGATTAACAAGCATAATGATATCCCTTCAAATAAAAGGAGGTGAACAGGAGGGGAGGTAGGAATGAAGGCTAGGCACTGCAGATTCAGACATGGTTTAACTAAGTAACATTTTTTCCCCCAAGTCTAGTTTATTAGAAATGGAATAAAAGCATCCAAATGAGAGTTTATTATTTTGTGGTAAATTCCTGTATGGATACATGTATGTGTATAGGTGCCATGCACATGTATGAAGGTTAGAGATGAGAATTGGTTCTCATCTTCTACCTTTACAGGAGTTCTGGGAATTGAACACAGGTCAGCAGGCTCAGTATAGAGCATCTTTACCCAGTGAGCTATCTCACCGATCTTACTTTTTTTTAAAAAATAAATATCCAAATGGAAAAGCCATTTCCTTCCAGATCTCTATTACTTAAAGGACTATAATGTTTGGTATCAGAATGTAAAATAAGGTATAACAGTATAAACTAGTATAATTAGTTTTCCGTAATTCACTGGTTTTCTGTATGGTATAATCTCTTGTATTATTTAACTTACCTGAACTTCTGAATTGGAGTCAATAGGCTGCAGTGAAAACCAAGTTTCTTTACCACTATGACTGCACAAGTCTTCTTTTTTGATGGCTACTTTTCCTACAGAAAATAAATAAAATGATGAGAAATCATACTTTATATAATCTTATGGTTCATAAGCATGTATTTTACAGAAATTACTTTAGAATAATTTGTATCTGTTGGTATAAAAATCCACCATTACTCCCCCCCCCCCCTTTTTTTAAACTGGACATTGCTATGTAGCCCTAGCTGGCCTGGTACTTGCTATTTAGCTCAAGATAGACTTGAACTCATTCATGGTAATCCTCCTGCTTTAGTCTTCTGAGTGCAGAGATTACAGAATTTAAAAATCCATTTCTATAAAGTTTGTTTTCTCCTAACCCTTAAAGAAGAAATGTCTTATTTCTGCTTGCCTACAGTAAGACCCTTTTGTGAGTCATTCTGATTCAGGGCATTAGGAAAACTCAGCTGGAGTTTAATGTAACTATGGTATTTTAGCACTTCCTCTGATTAATATTCAGGATAAAAAACAAAATGTAAATGGCAATGCAATATAATTTTCCAGGTTCTGTAACACTGTGGATGAAGTAGATGTGCTGGTTAATTTTGAGCAGTAACATCTGCATTTAATAAGAAGTTACATGCTCCAATTAAGTGAAGGGACAAACAGTATCACCTATTACTAAAAAAGTGAAAAGTGCCTCAAAGATCATTTTATCAAAACATTATTAACTAGCTATCTGCTTCAATTCATATTCTTTAACAATCAAGGCTGCTCTCTAAAGTGTTTTTGTCTCTCAGGGAAAGACGATGTACTATGAACAGAGACATATGAAAGGAAGGAAGAAACAAATGATCTTCAAATAAAGTACTTAGCGTGCTGGTGCAAAGCACTTCCTTCCTCCATGCAAGCTTTAAGCAGACAGAGTTTTGCATATGACTAACCATTCAAAGACTGCACGAAAGCTCCAACAAAGGAAATATTTGGTAGTTTAAGATTAATTCACTTCTTTCCTTGTTTAAAAAATACTTTCCTTTTAAGTATCCCAACTGTATGTTTTATCTTACAAGATAATCTTACTTTTATTTCAACAGTTGAAGACATTAGAAATTATAAAATTTTTTTATGAGAAGCTGCATCCACTTTCAGATATCAAGTGAAAAGGAAGATAGAAAAACAAACAGAACAACTTATATTTATCTTTTTTTCTGGAAGCAGGTGGTGATTATACAATTGCAGAATATACTAAAAAAACACACTGTGTGCTTTCAAATTGTACAAATACTTTATCTTGATAATCCCAGCACAAGGCCAGCCTGGTCTACATGGTGCACTCCAAGACAGCCAGGGCTATAAAAAAAGGCCCTGTCTCCAAAAAAAAAAAAAAAAGAAAAGAAAAAAGATTTTCAAATTTGAAAAACAGCTGCCAAGTACACAAAACTTCTATTTTCTTTACCCAAGATTTCCAAAATCGTATCTTTTTTCCATGTTTTGCTCTATATGTGCGTATGTGTGTGTGTATATACATACACACACATGATATATATCAAAATATGTGTATGTGAAATGATTCTTTCTCTGAGCCATTAAAAAATAAGTTTTAAATATAATACACTTTAAAACAAGAAATTTTATGGTATGTAACTTACACCTTAATAAGGTTGTTACTTAAACTTTTAAAAACATATTACAGTTTTATGTTTATCCCTACAATTATAAGTTAAAACTCAAACTGCAGATGTATAAAGAACAGACGTTAAAGTACAGAAGCAGATTTGTAGTAGAATGGCAAACTGTAGCAATAGTCTTCAAGAGACTGAAAATTCAGTCTATTAACACACAAAATTGAAAACACATAAAACTTTAAACCTATCAATCTGATTTCTTTTAAATATTTTGAGTGAAATCTAATATAAAGATTAAAAACTTTGTGTGACAGAATTATAGAAAATGACACTAGAAAAATGTACTTCAGAGTTTTTTTAATTGAATTTTAAGATGAGAAATGAAGAAAAAGATGAATACACAAACACATACACGGGGGTGGTGGTGGGGGAACGCGCCAAGTCCTCAACTTTAAAAGGAAGGGTTTTAAGTCTTTTTATTTGGAACCTTACTCCTCTGAACAACTCACACCCACGGTCTATAAATCATACTGGTAATGTTACAAACAGATTCGACTTCCATGTTGCCTCAACTTAAGACTATTTAACCAAGCATGTGCCTAAAAGCTACACAGGAATTAATCTTTCCTGCTTCATCTTTCAGGTCACAGTAAATACACCTGACACAGCCATCTTCCCAAAAGACAACCCAGGCTCTGGGTAAAACATTTCAGAAGCAAATTATTACTTATGCCCTATGTCTTTTAACTACAAATTGTTTTTCTTAAAATTAGTATTTGCTTTTTAATAAATATTTGTTTGATTTTCTTTTTTTTCTACATAGGAAGTCTGACTCTGTAACCTAAGCCTGAAACGGACAGCAACTCTTCTGCTGCAATCTCTTGGTACAAGTGTGAACTTCCATACCTGGTGATTTTTACTCTAAAATTAAGCAAATATCAAAGGTGACTTTGAGAAATCATTATTATTATTTGTAGCTAATATGAAAACATATGTCATACTTGACTAGAAGCTAACTAAAGCTTGTTCACAGAATGTCATTTAAAGTGAATATGCCAATTAAAAAAACAATGAACATAAATCTATAGAAAAAGATTAGAAATGCTGAACATATATTATCATGCAGTTTTTAACACCTCCTTACTTATAGAAATGACCATAACACTCATGTTGTAATTATAAATAATTATGAATAATACCTACCTATACGAAGATCTCTTTGTAAAACATTTTTATCATAAACATAAAAAGACAAATACTGGAAAGTTCTTGGAATCTCAAAATAAAATTCTTCACTGAAATATGGACTAGAGAGAAAAGAGAAAGCTCATTATGTTAAATAATATATAATTTATTATCACTATTAAATACTCATTACCACTACTGTTAAAATCGTACCAATAATAAAGTCACATTCAAATTTCACTTTCAATAAACATCAATGAAATTATACACTAAAATTCTTCAGAGTTTCAAACAAAGTCTATACAAATCAAGCTGAAATGAAAAGACTTCAGGTGTCAAATGAATTCTAAACATACAGCTTTTCAGAAGGTCCTGTGAACAGAAGGATCTAGTAATTGCCTAGGCCATGCTCACCTAATGTTGACCTACATGAGAGCCAAGAACAATGCCATGCACCTTATTATCTTTGAACGATATAACTGTAAAAAGTTGTACTGCTCACGATAGTACCTAATGTCTAAAATGAATAATGCTATATAAAATATTTGTAAATGTATTATAAATATTGACTACTGGGCTGGAGAGTTAGCTCAGCAGTTAAGAGCTCTGACTGCTCTTCTAAAGGTCCTGAGTTCAAGTCCCAGCACCCACATGGTAGCTCACAACCATCTGTAATGGGATTAGATGCTATCTCCTGATGTCTGAAGACAGCTACAGAACTCATATACATGAAATAAATAAATAAATCTTAAAAAAAAGAAATATTGTCTAAAGTATTTTTATTATCTTTCCTGAATTATTTTTGAATTCTATATAATCAAACTATGGAGGCTGACAGCCTTTGATAAATTTACAAATCTGTGTAGTAGTTTCCACCCCAATCAAAATATAGAATAAATATTGTTACTTTAGAAAGTTCCTCTATGCTCCCAATAATACCCTAACACGTCACAAGGAACTCATTTTATGAGGTAGCAGTGGGTTCCAGGGGCTAGAGCCTTGTGTATGCTAGGCAAGTATGTCAATGTCTTTTATGTGCCAGATGTATTGTTGTCTCAGGAGCTTACTGTTGAATAGTCTTACTCTTTCTAGCTCTTTCTGAACTCTGGCTGGCTGGTTTGACTCAGCTCTTCCGGCCCAAACTCCTCTCTAAGATGACTGATTCAAACTGGCTTCTCTCAGCTTCTGATTGAATTGCTCTGCTTGGCCTCAAACTAACTACGGCAATCTGTTCTTATCTTCTGGCTTTTTCTCATTCTCTGTCTTGTTCTGTCTTTTACCTGCAACCTATCTCTGTATGACTCTCCCAGTCCCCCACCCCTTTGTGCTGCTCTCTTAAGTCACTTTTCTTTCTCATGAGAACTGGGCTTATCCTATCACTGACTCATTCTGTCAAATCTTTCTTTGATTCGTTACTTTGTCTGCCCCTCATGGCTGCTTTCTTCTACAAATTAACTTTATCTTCATGTTTGGGATTGAAGGTGTGTGCTAAGAGTATGGCCATATTCCAGCCAGATCAGAGACTTAGAAGGTCTTTGGATGTGATCCCTTGCCAGAACAGGCATTATGCTGAATTAAAATTCCTTTACATCTTCCCCCTTTCTGTTTAAGCTAAATACTGTATACATTTTAACCGTTACAACACTAGTGCTCTTTTACTGAGCTATATTCTTAGCCCAGTGATATGATTTCTTTGTATGTGTGCAAGTGTGACTGTTTGAGTATAAAGGTCAGAAGTCAATCACCTAGTTGAGTGTCATCATTTTTTGATACAGGGTCTTTGCCTGCGTCTGACACTCCCTGTTGGGTCATACTGCAGGCTACATAGCTCCAGGGACCCTCCTGTTCATACAAGCCCAGCTCATTTTTATACCACTGCAATACAGCTTTATGGGTGCTGAGGAACCAAACTCAGGTCTTCATGCTTGTAATGACAAGACTGAGCTATTTTCCCAGCCCCAGTGATTTGATTTGTGTGTACCTGTGTGTGGATGTGTATACTCCCATGTGTGCATCAGTATAGAGATGAGAAGTGGATATCAAGCATCTTCCTTCACCTATCTTTACCTTATTTTTTAAAACACAGGGTTTCTAGCTGAACCTGCAGCTCACTAATGTGGCTATACTGACTGACCAGCAAGTCCCAAGGATCCTCCTAGCTCTACAACCTCAGCTCTGGGATTACACTACGAGTGTTTGTTTTTTTACATGGGTGCTAAGTATTCAAACTTAAGTATTCAATACTTAAGTATTGAAGTTCTCAATGCTTTCAAGACATGCACTTTATTAATTGACCTACCTATCATGGTTGGGGAAGAGGCTTGGGAGACCCCACCAGTAGTGAAAGGGGAAATAATTTTCTTCAGTGGTGTAGCCATTTGTTCACTGCCCATGCTCCAGTACATAATGCTCTACCTACACTCATGCAAGCAGCCCTAACTAAACTCAGTGGGTCACATACGTACAAACACATGAAAGTAGGAAAGCTTGCTAGAAGGAATTCAGAGAGTGTGCATGGGAATCAGATGGGGGAGGATAATGGAGTGGGTACAACTTACAAACAATACATTCAGGTATGGAATTTTCAAAGAAAGAATTAAATATAAAACCTATCATCTATCTCCCAGACATTTCCCTGTACCCCCTGCAATCACCCCACAGATAGTCAGTGAACTGGGGAAAGTTCTATCATTACAGATTGCATCCTAATAGCGACGAAAATGGTTTTAAACTGTATTTTTCTGATGGTTAATGGAACTGGATCTCTTTTCATGTGTCTCTGAGACATTTGTATATCTTCTTTTATGAAATATCCGAATCTTCTTGTATTTTAAAAATCTTAATTATTAAGCATTTGCTTTGATTTAGATATTTAGAAGCAAAATCTCTTAAATCTTTAGAATTCTAAAGTCTTTTCTGTTTTAGAATTCAAAGTTATAAATACTGAAGGAAAAATTCCAAAGGTTTAAAAAAAAAGTTAGAAAGACCTACAATGTAGTTACTTTCGGTTTAATGTTCGATTACAGTTTAGACAAGTATTAAGAACATTATAATAAAGTCAAGATGAGGAAGGATTTTTTTTTTTTTTTGGTTTTTTGAGACAGGGTTTCTCTGTGTAGCCCTGACTGTCCTGGAACTCACTCTGTAGACCAGGCTGGCTTCACACTCAGAAATCCACCTGCCTCTGCCTCCCAAGTGCTGAGACTAATGGCATGCGCCGCCACTGCCTGGCTATGAGGAAGGATTTTTACTTCAGATTATTTTGTCCTATTCTAGAATGGAAGATTAGGGGGCATTCAGAATCCAAGAATTATCTAGTCTAGCTAGCCACACCTTTAGGTGTCTAAGGCAGTGACACAGCTAGCTTGAAATTATTATCTTTCAAATTATTTTCTTTTTGCAGGTAGAAAGAAATAAAGAAAACTGGTTTCATCATTTTTCCACTATACAAACATTCAGAAGGTTAAGGGTTATTTTCTCATATATGGTTACATATTACAAACTGTAAGTACTCAATTTATGGATTCAATTTACAAAATTACTATCTAATTTTGTAATTACTAATTACCTTGTGATAATAAAATTCTAACAAACTGAAATTTAAATAATTTCAGGTCACAAATTCCAGCTTTGCTTTTAAGTTTCTTCATTACATGACAAATCATGCAGCCTTTTAGTGACAGGATTTCATCATTCATAAACATAAATAAAAAGGCCATTTGTGAATCTGAATGTACAAATGTGAAAAATATCAAGATTCTAAATCAATATGGGCATATAACTTGTGACAAAATCTTTTAAGCTTATTACTCCAATATTTTTGAGCTACTAAGGCACCTTTAGTTTTTTGTTTTTAATTATGTACTCATACTTTTTTTTTTTTTTTTTTTTTTTTTTGAGGAGGGCACACATGTAAAGTCAGAGAACAACCTGTAGGAGTTGGTTCTCCCACCATGTGGGCCCTGGGTACTGACCTCAAGTGTCAAGCTTGACAGCTGGTTCCCTTACCTGCTGACTGAGCCACTACAAGGGCTACTTTTAGTTTTATATACTTTTCTTATGAAGAGTTCAAAATTGTAAGAACCAAACAATAGGGCTGGAGAGATGGCTTAGTGGTTAAGAGCACTGACTGTTCTTCCAGAGGTCCTGAGTTCAATTCACAGCAACCACATGGTGGCTCACAACCATCTGTAATGGATCTGATGCCCTCTTCTGGTGTTTCTAACGATGACAGTGTACTCACAAAAAGTAAATAAATAATTATTAAAAAAAAAAAAAGAAGAATCAAACACTCCCCCCCCCCAAAAAAAAAGCTATGCAGAGGGGTATGCCTATAACACCAGTGTTTGAGTCTGAAGAGTAAGAGTAAAAGTTCAGCCGGGCAGTGGTGGCACACACCTTTAATCCCAGCACTTGGGAGGCAGAGGCAGGCGGATTTCTGAGTTTGAAGCCAGCCTGGTCTACAGAGTGAGTTCCAGGACAGCCAGGGCTACACAGAGAAACCCTGTCTCAAAAAACCAAAAAAAAAAAAAAAAAAACAAAAAAAAAAAACCAAAAAAAAAAGGAGTAATAGTTCAATGCTAACTCGGACTATGTGGCTAGGCTCTGGGTAGAGAGCAGGAAAGGAAAAGGGAAAGAAGGGCAAAGAGGAGAAAAGACAAAGAAAGAACAGGAAAGGAGACACAAGTAAATGTCAGAGTATAATACAGGCAAGTATGCAGGAGAGGGTAACAAAGTACCACAGCATACTCCAGAAGTCCAATGGAATAAAAATACAGTTGTGACAACTGCTTCATTCACCATGCTTGTCTTAACGACTCCCAGAATCCTTCATGTTTTGTTTCTATCTTTCAGCAGTTTGGTAGTGGTAGTCTGGTTGTCTCTTTTTTTGTTGTTGTTGGTTTTCTTTTTTGTTTGTTTGGTTTTTGTTTGTTTGTTTGTTTGAGATAGACTCTCATATAGCCCAGACTGGCCTGGGACTTATTATGTAAACCAGGCTGGCCTCAACCTCAACAGAGATCTGACCACTTCTGCCTTCCAAGTGCTGGGATTAAAAGCATGTACCATGACACCTGGTTTTAGCACAGTTCTATATCAAAATTACAAACACAAACACTGCTACAAGGCAGAGGAGGCAAAGAAGAATTCGCTGTAGTGCTTTCAAAGAATAATTACACTTTCAAAGATAAAAACAATCTACCAAGGGTTTATTCCCTGATAATACATTAGTAAGTAACTTGTATATATGCAGATGCAGAGAAAGGGTGTGTGTGTAAGACAGAGGTTAACATCAGTTATCTTTCTCAATCATTTTCACCTTATTCTTTGAGACAAGGACTCTTGTTAAACAACTTGGCTACACTGGCTGGTCAGCAGGTTCCTGGAATCCTCCTACCTCCATGTCCCCAGCACTGGGAACTCTCAGTGGGAGCCACTGCACCTGGCTTTCTTACATGGGTACTGGGGATGTAACACTTGACCTCATATTTGCGCAGCAAGTGCTTTACCAAGAAAGCCATCTACCTCTCTAGCTTCCAGTTGTATGAACTTTGAGCTAATTTATTCTTTGGAGAAATAAGAATGATGTGCTTTGAGGAAAGCACAAACAAATAGGCGATATTTAGCCTAGAGAACACATTGAAACTCTTATAATAGTTGTTTTCAAACATTTAATACTGTCACATAAAAGATGGACTAAAATTGTTCCCCAGAAATCTAAGGGACAGAGTTAGGGCAACTAAGAAAAAACACTCTCTAAGGCAATGAAAAGCTACATGAAAGCAAGTACTTCACTGATGTCATTCCTATAGACAGAGGAGTAAACAGAACCCAGAACTGAGCAAATGCTTGGCACATGATTGGATGTCATTTTAATAATCATTAACCAATTAAACATAAGCACTTTCTGAGTCAGAAGAGTTCAAAGACCACATAGACTAGTACTTAGAACATTGTTAGGTAGATGCCACATGACCACTTGGCAGAACTACTGCTAAGAAGACCAGAGCTGTCAGTTCAGCTTACTGACATTCAAGGCCTCTTTAAATGCTTATATTGTGTAAATCTAAAAAATGAATTCGTAATAGAATAGAAAACCTTTAAATAAAAATATTAGCTTCAAATCAAGAAAGTCAATTTGCTGATAAAAATCTGGAAAATACATAAAATGTGAATATATATCATATGACTAATTTCTAATTTTTCTACCAACCTTAAAGACTTTTCAACAACCTGGGTGCGATAAACTTCTTCCTGGTCCAAATTTATAGTGCAGAAACAATCTCGCATTTTGTTGGGTCCAAGATATGGCAATAAATTTTTTGCTTCATCTGTCGGCACAAAAGTTTAAATTGATGTTAAATTTTTTACTTATATCATCCAAAGCTTGTATATGAATTCATATAGTCTGAAAGAAGGCATAATATGGAGTACAGAAAAAAAACAACTAGTGATCGGAGAGGCCAAGGGGGTCTAAAGGAGACTAGTGAAGACGGATGGACGTAGCTGAGGAGTGCTGAGCCTTTCCCGACAAGTCTATAAAAAAGAGCATTTTGTTTGTTTGTTTTGTTTTTTTGTTTTTCAAGACAGGGTTTCTCTGTGGAGCCCTGGCTGTCCTGGAATTCACTCTATAGACCAGGCTGGCTTCAAACTCAGAAATCCGCCTGCCTCTGCCTCCCAAGTGCTGAGACTAAAGGCATGCGCCACCACTGCCAGCGAGGATTTTTTATTACAAGAAAAAAACCTAAGTGTTTAAAAGTAAAAAAGAGGGGCTGGAGAGATGGCTCAGCAGTTAAGAGCACTGACTGTTCTTCCAGAGGTCCTGAGTTCAATTCCCAGCACCACATGGTGGCTGACAACCATCTGTAATGGGACTGGATGCCCTCTTCTGGTGTGTCCAAAGACAGCTACAGTGTATACTCATATACATAAAATAAATAAATAAATAAATAAATAAATCTAAAAAAAAGAAAAGAAAAAAGAAAAATCATGTTAATACAAATAATAAATTAAAAAAAAAAAGACACTGATTCAAAAACATTACTGCTATAAAAGTAAAAAAGACCGGAGGAGCTATGTATAGACATATCACTGAATCCTTCCCTCTATGAAAGAGTGGTTTCTCTCCATCCTGTCCCACCAGAACCATCTCAGAAGTTTTCCTGCAATGAATCTCTCCTGAATCAGCCTTAATTTTCCTTTCTACCAGCTTGCTCTCAGCAGCATATAAACAACACTTCACAATTAAAACAACCAAAAGAAGCAAATAATCATCCTTGGTCCACCTCTTCTCCCAGGAGAACTTCTTCAAAGCACTGTCTCTCTGTGTCCTACTTTCCATTCATGCTTTGGCCCTCTCTAATCAGCTCCCGATTCCAAAATGACAAAATTGCTTTAGTCAAGGTTACCAATGCCAATGGACGCCGGCTGACCAATGTTTGGTCTGTTCTCACTATATGCACACCTCTGCAGAATCATCTAACAGAGTGGACACTTAACACACTCCCTTTTCTTGGATTCCACAACATACATTCTGGTTTTCCTCCTATGTCTTCTACTCTTTGTTAATCTCCTTCTCATTTCAATGCTGTAATTGCCTCAGGGCTCCGTTCTGGACTACCCCTTCCTTTTTCTATAAACTATTGAAGTACACAGTGTTAATGCTAGAAGCTCCCAGTTCTGTGTTTGCAGGCCTGACCTTCCCTCATCCATACCACTGGATATCTGGCAGGTATCTCATATTTAACAAGTTCCCAAAACCAGTCTTATTTCCTCTTCTATAAGCTCTTCCCTTGGTCTACTACCACTGCCTTCTCGCTCATCATCTTCCTGCCTCTCCCTTAGACAATCCAGTTTATTAGCATATCTAGAAGATCTTTAAAAAGACAAAATCTAAAGTTCAATATCTTCTGCTTCTTTTACTCTCCAACAACCTGTTTTTTACCAAGAGATGTGATCTTTTCTTTCCTTTTCCATGCTGGGATTAGACCCAAGCTGTCTGCATGAGTGCATGGGAGATGAACGCTCTGCCGCTAAGCCATAATCTAGACCAAGCATGAGTTTTTCATCAGACTGAACTCAGTCACTTCTCTGCTCATACCATTTGCCTGAGAATAAGCTCTAACCTCTAACTCATAATCTACATAACCCTAAAGTATCCCTTCTGACTCCTTTTGGTTTTCTATGGTTCACTTTTTCCCCGTTCATCAGCCATGTTAAATTTATTATGATTTCTTCCTGGGTCTCTCTACTCTTTACATGGCTGGTACATTCTTATCATTCAGGCCTCAGCTCAAATGACACTTGACAGAGAACTTCTGCCTAAGTAGTCTGTCTACAGCAGATGATCCTGCTACCATACTCTTACGTTTGGTTCCCTTGAGAGCATTTGTAATGGGCTGAACTTCTGGTAAGAGTTTCTACAGCTTCTGTATGAGGCCTGAGAACTTGCTAATGTCCAAGATCTAAAACAGTAAAACTCTGGTGACATGTTTGTTGAAGGAATAAAGAACCCAGTAAATCAAGCTTTGAAGGTCTTGTGAGCTATCTGTGTACCAAAATGACAAGTGTCTACTTGAAGTGTATACTGAAATTACATACCAATGCACACATCTAAGAAAGTGAGGAAGGGGTCAGCAAGAAGGGTCAGTGAGTGAAAACACTTGTGTGCAATCCTGACTAGCTAGATGCAGGAGTGCACATAAATGTTTCCAGCATTTCTACAGAAAGACAGGAGATGACACAGGAGACCCACCCAGAAGGTCTTGGGCCAGACAAGATAAACCCTGCAGCCAGGTGGTAGTGGTACTAGCCTTTAATCCTAGCACTCAGGAGGCAAAGACAGATGAGATTGAGGCCAGGTTGGTCTATAGAGTAAGTTCCAAGACAACCAAAGCTACTCAGAGAAACCCTGTCTTAGGGGAAAACAGAAACAAAGACAAAAAGGGAGAGAGAAACCATGTTTCAAAAACAAGATGAACTGGCGGCAATGGTGGCACATGCCTTTAATATCAGCAACTGGAGTAATTGAGGCAGGAGAATCCCTGTGAGCTTGAGGGATCCTCCAGCCTGCTCTACAGAGTGAGTTTCCAAGAGCTATACAGTCAGAGCTACACAGTGAGACCCTGTCTTGAGAACAAAACAAAACAAGATGAACTGACTCCTTAAAGTTGTCCTCTGACCTCTACATACACGCCACAGTGCGTACACAGAACCCATCACCCCACACATGTGATAAATAAAAGATAAGTTTTTAAAAGAAAGTGAGGTAGCTTCATAAAGGAAATTCCCCTAAGAATTCTGAGACCAGGTCTCTCTTATCTCTCTTACTAAGCATTCAGAAAAAACACTCAAGGATAGCTCTTCTAATGAAGGTTTGTGTTCTTCCTGCTTAAGTTTAAAACTAACGCCGGGCGTTGGTGGCGCACGCCTTTAATCCCAGCACTTGGGAGGCAGAGGCAGGCGGATTTCTGAGTTCGAGGCCAGCCTGGTCTACAGAGTGAGTTCCAGGACAGCCAGGGCTATACAGAGAAACCCTGTCTCGAAAAACCAAAAAAAAAAAAAAAAAAAAGTTTAAAACTAACAACTGTAAATGCCAATATGTGGTAAAGTCTACAAGAAATTTAAGTAAACAATTTTTTAACTTAAAATAAGAAAAGCAAAGAGCCAGGTGTGTGGTGTAGGTCATTAATCCCAGCTCTTAGGAAGCAGAGGCAAGAGAATCTGAGTGTGAGACCAGTCTACATAGCAAGTTCCATGCCAACAAGAGCATAGTGAGACCTTGCCTAAAAAAGAAAAGAAAAAAAAAAGAGTCAATAGAAAGGCACCAATAACATATTTATTACTGTTAAATTTATCATTGGAGACCAGAAAAAAAAATGAGATTATACTGTTTAACCATTATAAACAAAGTTAATGCTTATCTCAAGTAAAGCAGGATCAGAAAACCTCACCTTGTAAGTGATTCCAAAACTAACTAAAATGGGATAGTATTTACAAGTGAAGCAGTTCCCTACAGGAAAAAGTGTTATCAGAAGCCTCCCTATCTTCATCTGAAGCTCACCCTTCCTACTCGTGTTCTCTCCCTTGTCCCTCCTCTCTCCCAACAGGCCCTTGTTTAGCAATTCTATTTTCACTGTTGTCAAATTTCTTCAGAATCTCCTTTGCCTCTGCATAACACAATGGATTTATTTTAAAACCAAAGTTTTGTACACAGACCATAATACAACAGCTAATTTTATATGAACATATATATATGCATATATGTATATATATGACTACAATAAATATGCTCCATACTGAAAGTTTAGAGCATTCAATCATTACCCTAGGATGTGTACCTGTTTTATTCATGTTAAGTTCTGTTTAGAAAATAATGGTACATAATGTGTATATAATCTACCAATCCCACCCCCCACCCCCAGAAAAAACAAGGGTTATTTTGTCTGTAGAATTTAATGAAATTGACATTGCCAGATATTTGCTTAAAATAATTAAAGGCAAAGTCTCATATGGTATAAAGAAATGCACCCAGCATCACTTTTTATAAAGGCAGTTTTCCTAACATATTTTTCTCACTATTTATCACTGGTTGACATTCAAATAAGCTGTTTTGAAAATTCATCCCATCAATGCCCAGTTCTCCAAAATAATCAGACTACTGCTTATCAATTATGAGGAATTTTTAACTGTAATTCCAAACTACCGTGGTGATTTCTGCTCATTTATAAAGCACACTAGGCAATGGTTAGACCACGGAAGCACTGCTGCATCTCTGCATCTCAAAGCAGGAGAAGGTGTTAACAGCACACACTCCACCGTTAAGCTGCATAAAGTACATAAAGTACATACTTTGGAAGCCTGTATTTCACCAGATGGTCCTACTATTTCTAGGTAACTTTAGGGTATAAATCGCATGACTGAGTCAATGACCCACCCTCTAGTCCTCCTCTTTCACTCGCACCCTAACCACCTATAGTTAGCTTCAGACCTTCCTTTGTCTAGAACCTTTACAGACACTAATAATACTGAGCACTACCAATCAAACGATTGCCTGTCAATGCCCACTTTACAAGGCCACTTTTTAGTACCTGGTAGCACTAACCTACCTCAGTCTGGGGAGTTCATGCTAAGTGGTCTTTGTTTCACCCCCTCATTCAGGATTTTTATCTACAGAGCACATTTAAATGACAGGAAACTTGGAATACAGTATTTAATTCATCAGACGTGAAGGACCACTTTTAGGTATTTTTATGGTGTTATATGCCATTATAAAATAAAAGACTCTCCAGGCATGGTGCCACACACCTTTAATCCTAGCACTTAGGAGGCA